AAAAAAAAAAAAAATTGATAGATATAATTATAAATCCTGCTTTTTTGCTTGATAATGCAATCGGTAAATTATATAAATTTTTCTCATAAAATTATGCTCAGACATTTTGTTTTTTGTTTTTTTTCGAAAAAGGAAATGGGTGTGGAAAACGGAATGATCGCTATGCAATACCGGAATAATTGATTGTTATGAAAACCGGAATGATAGATGGAAATATTTGCAGTTTCAAGATGTTTATGAAACGCTCGAATTTAACGATGCAAACAATCAATTGGAAGCATTGAAAGTAAAAGGAAATGCTTTTGCAATGGAAAAAGATGCAAATAAAAAAAATGCTTTGAAGAAATGGCGCAATTTGCCAATTATTCGTCTTCGAATTCACAAAATTGAACAGAGCATTTTGGATGGCGACAATTTCGGTGACAGTATTAGCGCATTTCAACGCATTGACGAAATTCGAAATTTAGCTAATGAGGTGAAAATATTGAAAGAAAATAATGCAACTATTTTGTTGATTATTTGGCAATAATTAGCTAATTAATCAATTATTTAATTCCTCGGTAATTCATCAAATATTTTTATAGATGATTTTGGATAAATAAGTAAAATATTTGTGGGGTTATTTTCTTGTTACTCAATTATTATTGTACAATTTGGTAGTAATTAATTGATTCTTTGATAATTTGTTGAATTTTTTTTTGATAACTTTAGAAGGCAAAAATTATTTCATCTCACTATTATTCTTAATAACGAGAAAGTTAGAACGAATGAAAAGAGCTTTGAAAATGAAATGAATTTTTGAATTGAATTATCTTTGCTCTCTTTTAATTTTTCATTCGATCTTCAAATTATTTTGAAAATTTAAAATTGTAAGAAATGAAATAATAGATATGAAATAAATAATGTTAAAAATTGTTTGTTAAATTTTTAAAATAATTTTTGTAATTTAGGTTTCGAAAGTTCTTCAAGAAGTATACAATTATTACAAACAAATGGACGATGAACTATCTGACAGTTACAATATTTTAACTGATATTGAGGATAAGCTTAATGCAAAACGTGAAAAGGAAGGAAAAGTTCGACGTTCCAATTGCTTCTGGTTTTTCTGTTATTAATTTATTGTATGAATGAAATAAATAAGAACAATTATATCATCTAATAACAATTTAATGAACTTTTAGATTAATTGCTTAATCTAAAGAAATTAAAGTTTTTTATACATAAAATTTTATCACTATTGCAAATGTATTTCTTATATTTAAATTTTTCAAAAAAAGAAAATTCATAATTTTAGAAGTTATTCGTCCTTATTTATATTTATTTGTTCCTTCTCAAAATTTCAATTCTAAAAGCAGAAAAATTTATCAGCATTGTTGTTATCAAATTTAATACTTGTAATTATCCGCTTGTTTTATTCTCATTTATTTTGTTGCTCTTGATTTTAAAAAAAATTTTTTTCAATTAATTCAAAAATATTATTCAATCATTCAATATCGACCATGATAAACGATCATTGATAAACTTATTCACTAGTTTAAAAACTTGAATAAGCCTTGAAATGATAATACGCCTAGCAGACATACGTATGTACATAATATTTCCTTCGATATCAAGAATAAATCGTGAACTTTAATTTTGAACTAAAAATAAAAATTGTGCCAAATATATTTTCATTATTATGACAAACAAAGTGAAGAAAAATTGTTTCAACTTTCAAATGAACAAAATATTGTAATTGTCAAAATAATATGAAAATAAAAATTATATATTATTGTGGAAGCTATTCAGGCTAATTTAAAATTATTCACAAATGTCGTTGGATTATTGTAATTCTTTATGATCGATGGTTAAGTAATAAATTTTAAATAATTAAACTCCGAGACGTTCCATGAAAATCTTTATAGAGGAATATAATTACAAAAATATGAATAACACACAAGAGAAAGAGAAAGAGAGACAACCATTATGTATTTAATAAAATAATTAAAATACAAAAAATTCCAAAAAAAAAAAAATTTCAGTCATACAAGCATATTCTTTATTAAGAAACAAAAAATTAAATCACAGCAATGAAAAATGAAAAAAAAAACATTTTAATTTTCGTTTTTATTCGTTGCAAATGTAGTAAAATATTTTTGTAAAATAAAATAATGAATGAGTATGAAATGTATATACGGAAAATGCTAAAGAAAGGAAATAATAATGCTCCTTTTTAACCATTCAAATTCAATTTCAGATTTAACAAAAACAAAAAGGGCAAAAAATGCAAATATTTAGAATTTTTGATAATAGAAAAGTACCCAATTTTCATTACAATTCTCTTCTTCTAATGCTAAACATTTCTTAAATATTTGAATAAAGTTAAAAAGAAACTGTTTTCAACCAATATCTACAAAGATTTAAAGCTAATCAACTGAAAGAAAAAAGAAGTGCCCACAAAGGAGGAATAAATAATTTAAAATATCAGCTCATTAAAAATTTTAAAATTTAAAAGAAGAAATAAAAAGAAACACCAAATTAAACAAAATGCTCAAACAAAACAAATAAACAAATATCGTACAAAAAAAAAAAATAGAAAAAGGCAAACATGAACATCGATCAGAAGCAATGTTATCTAATTGGATCAATATTTTTATCTGTCAATCAATAATGTCATCTTTTAATGCAGCAAGCTTATTTCTTCTAGTTTTATTTTTTCATATTATTGTAAGTGGTAATTAATATGATTAATAATATTTATCGATCTTTTAGGAATATGTTTTAACTCAAAAAATGAAATGTTTTAAATTATTATACGAAATTTTTAAGTGTAAATTCTGAATCTGGAAATTCCATGAATATTTATAATTAAACTATATTGATCCCGTACAACACAATGTTTTTACAATCAATCAATCAATTATTATGATTGTGGTGGAATAAATCGAAAAATATTCCAATCGGCGGACCAATAATTGTAAAGCTTTGTTGTGAAATTCTCTTTTGACGCAAAACGTGATGTACTAAGCGTTGACCCATCGTCGTGTGATAAACTGAGATGTTTCTGTGTGGAAAGCGCTTTATCAGGTAATGATCGTGAAATGCATTGCTCCTATAATTTTATTTTGATTTTTTTTTTTGTTTGGATAAATTACAAATGGTTAAAGATTAAAATTTTTCAATCCAAAAATTTAATTTCACATCAGTAATTTT